AATAGTAATTGTAGGATGCAGGGAACAAGGGTTCCATCTAGTGAGGAATCTTGGTACTGCAACTGCAGGATGGTCAGCTAAAGTTTCATATGGATGGTGTGGCGTTAATTTTGCATAAACTTGATATCATGTACTTCACGTCAAATGGAGTGACGTCTAGTTTACGTAAAATACACGTACACTTTGGTGACATAAATATTGGAACGTAAATTTTGCGTAAACATGATGTCATTTTCGTGGCAATCGCAAGAAATTTACATTGTTTGCAAAGAATTGATATCTTGTTTACGTAAACATGCTGCTTGGGACTCGTTAATTTTAAGTCCTCAGTACTTTTCATGCGGTACTGGAATTTTTCTCACAGAGAACATAAGGGAAGACACTCGAGCTTCTCAATTGCATTGCTTAAAAAGGTTAAGCAGTCCAAGGAGACTCCTGATTGGTCGTGGAGGAGGCACGGTTCAAACTGGGGCTTCACTCGATGGAGTGAAGATAAATAAAGACCCGATGGATTTGTGTGCGATAAAAAGTACGATCGCCCAAGAGCTTTGCCGGACGAGCATTTCCATATCGGAAAAAGAGCTATATGAGTCATGAACGAAATCTGAAGAGGACTCAAGTCCCGCGCGGAAAGCGAGGGACCCCAAAACATGAGAATCTTTCTACTCTCTGGGGGCCGCGGGACAAGCCCACGACGGACCAACGCCGAGCCCACACCGCAAATGTGGAACCCCCCAACGTGGGCGTGCTACCGGGGTCCATACGTCGACCATCATTCATCCCAGCGTTCCGAGTATCCGATGAAAAGGCAACCTCGGTACAGACCTGAGATGGCCCTGATCATTACCTGCACCGACACTATATCAATCCACGCCAACTCAGGCATGTTACACTTGAAGCATATCACACTGCAGACGATTTCTCTTCGCCCTGCACATTTGACGGCGGCTCGAAGAACCCAACATTCCTCTGATTCTCATAAATTGTTTTTATTCTCAGCACACCAGAAAGGGCCCCCCCTCCCCCCCCCCCCCCCCCCCCAGTAGCACTCCAACATTGGATCAATACTGACTCTGCCAAGGAATATATAGTATATCTTGGACCAATACTGGGATCACTAGTGGGACGATATTGGACCGGTATTGCCGTTGCTATTTGCCCTAAATTCATTACTTCGTGGAGGCAAGCCCTTGGTGGAGCCACTTCTATCATTCTGCAGTATTCGTACAGCAGGAAAACTCCCTTCCAATGCACATGTATGTCCCATAGGTAGAAGGGAGCTGGAGAATAGTACAGGAATTGATCTTCCCTTTCATGTACCAATTATAGTACATTTCAGAGGAAAATCCACCCTTTCGTGTTTTATGGAGTATCTGCAAGTTCTGTTCCTCATTTCCTACTGCTGGGGACTGAAAGATCATTTTGTCATGATGAAGAAACGGTGGAGGGAGCCCGCAGACAGTATCAAGTTACTGAAACTCCTCTCTGATAAGGTGAACCTTATCCTCGTGAGGGATTCTCAAAGGGAATATTGAGCCAGAGTCAATATATGGTGCCACTGCACCAGCAGCATCAGATATTGGCTCAATGCTGGACCAACATTGTGCACGTTGGCTACACTTTGGCCAATATTGCTAAACATTGGCCCCCATATAGTCATTCTATCATCGATCCAATATCAGATCGATTCGATGATTCAATGTGCTCAAGTTGCACTACAAGTTTTGGGGAAATGTTGAAGTTCACCTCCAGACCACTAGATGTAGGTATGGGTCTCGCATTTCGCACAATGCACAAGTGCCCTTCTCTCTTTCCATGGAATCGTCCCTCACAGGAGTTTTTAGTACCTCCCCATATGTCTCGCCTCGTCTCATTACGGGAATCAACAGATAAGGGCACTTCTTCTTTGGTTTTCCACATTTTCCAGACAGAATTACGAAGCCCGGGCCATAAGCAAGCTCATACTCCCTGACCCCTTATGAGGGTAGGTTCATCAAATTCTAAATAAGTTACGGTGACATGATAATGCCGACGGATTCCATTCACCGTTTCGTCATCGTAAGGTCAAGATGATCATTTTGTCCCCATTGGTAAAAAAGGAGGAGCTGAACTTGGGGATACTCTACAGCAGGGTCGGCAACCCACAGCCTACGAAGAGCTTTCATCCGCCCATCAGGCACGCCAAGAAAGAGGATATATATTTTATATGTCATTTATTATTTTCAAAAACGTATACTCCCTCCTCCGGGCAGATCAGCACCACAATCAATCACGCACTCTGGCCCATCATAAGGCGGAGCCGTTATAATCCGCTTCGTAATTAGTGAAAGGTTGCCGACCCCTGCTCTATAGAACATGAAATGGTGGATTTTCCCTGAACTGCACAATAGTTAGTCGGAAGGTCAACTCTTCCATTGTTCCATGCCTCCCGCCCATCCATGGGACGTACGCGTGCATGGGTAGGGTGTAGTACTAGTGTTGCATGCACTCGTACTGTAGATAGAAATACAGGTATTTCCACCTTGGGCTTACCTCCACAGGGTAATGAATTTAGAGCAAATCGCAGCGCCAATATCTGTCCTGTAGTAAGCCCAATAATGATACGGGATGGGCACTAATATTGCGTTAAGATTATTCCTTGGCAGCCGATATTGATCCAATATTGGGGGCACTATTGGTGCCACTATTGGTGCCACGAGTGTATGTCCAGTGTCCACACGGTTGGGTTCGTGAAAACAGTTTAATCATAACATTAATAACAGACGACCAGAGCCAATGGGCGGCATGCTTCCAGAGTCAAAAGGAAAAATGCGGGCGGATTCAGCCGGAGAGGGGAGTGCTAATCTCATAGTCATAAAAAAGGAAGACGGAAAGACCAGGGTAATTATTTACTAATACGTCACCAGCAAAAAACGGGGAAACGCCTCGGCAGAGAGGGCCGGTGCCGAATTCTATTTTTCCCCACGTAATATTTTTCCCGACCTCCTTTAATGGAAATGAAGGGAGTTCGTTTTAAAAAGTAGAATTGTAAGTTTGTTGATTGCCAAAAGAGAATATAATCTTTACTGTCAGAAACTGACTAAATGAAATCATAGCAGAACATCCTCCTGCAGAGGACGATGTTTCTTCCTCCTGCCTTCGTGTCAGCTGCCTTCATTTGCCTTTTACCTCCGCTGCCTGGAATCTTTGATGTGGCTTTCAAGATCGCCCCGAGGAGTCAACACTGGCTTAGACGTTAGCGAAGCAGATCGAGGCGCAAAAGGAACAATAAAAGGCACGGAAGAAATAGCCGCCGAGGAACAAGGCGAAGTTCCTTCATTTCCAATAATGGAGGTGGGGAAAAATATTACGGGGGAAAAATATCATACGACACCGGAACAAGCCACCGCGAATCCCTCAGTCTTCCGCTTTCCAGCTGAGTGCTTCCCCTTTTAAAAGGGTAGATTAGCCAGAGCCTACTCGCGATTGCCATCTTCGGAGGCCTTCATTTTCCATACGGGATTTGGACACCATTGTGACTTCATTCATAATTCATAGGCTTACGGCTATCTTACCGCTCTGAAAGTGCTTTTCTGGCTAGATTCATGGGTGATCATTTCTTTTAACTATGGCTGGGCGATATTGATTTTTAATGTATCGATATCGTTGACACATGCATCACGCGATATCGCCGGAGTTAATCGGGGGGGGGGGGGGTAATATTAAGGCGTATTTTTTTCAGGGCAATAATACTTCATTTTGGTAATGGATTCCAAAAGGTTGGAATCAAGACACATTACATAAATCACATCATTGTACATCGCTGTTCAAAGCAAAGCGGGATAACATATCGACTTTTACTATCACAGGAAATGCATGATATTTGTTTGCATGGAATGACTGAATGGTCGTTTTAGCGGGGGGACTTGATGTATCACCACATGCAAATGAGGATGCTTCCATGCATGAAGCAAGATATTGGTCGTATTCTTGGAATGTGGAATTTATTTTCAATAAAAGCATATAACTTCTTTTCCACATTGTGAGTGTATATTACATCCACCGCGAGAATAAAATATGACTGCATTCCATACCACAGACTTCTCATGAGGGTGAGGTATGAGCTTCCAGTAAGACCTACTGGTCCTCGTTTTCAGCACTGCACTCCATAATTTCGCACAGAACCCACATAAATTATATGGTGCTCTGGGCTAACTGAAGCCAAGTGATTACTTTCACAAAACACCTCAGGGAAATTTCTCAAGAAAAGAAAGCATTTAGGGAGGATTGCAGCCCGAGGATTATCCCCTACCTTCCCCCCTCATCTTAATAGTTTTTGCAAAGGTTGACAGCCAATCCTGAGCCTTTATTGTCTTAAAATAGAAACGAATGGCGCAGTTCGTGAATTCTAATCCCTTCTCCTGCAACAACATAGGATTAATCCCCCCCCCCCCCAAAAAAAAAATATATATACTAGTATATATCGCGATATGCACACATATCGCCGATAAGACATGTATCGAATAATGTCGCGATATCGCGATAATCGGCACTGCTCTACTTTTAACACACACGAATATACTACCCCTGATGGGGAACCAGATGCCTAGTTCACGACAGAAAGGACACTGTGGAATTCATCTTCACCCATCGAGTCAAGCCCAATTTGAACCATGCTTCCTCCACGACTCACTGGAGTCTCCTTGGACTATTTTACATGTTTAAAGAAATTAATAGGAATTCCAGCGTGTTCCCCAACGATGTCTGTGGGGAAAGATGAAGTACTGAATAAGAAGCAATACGGGAACATATGACGAGTCTCTCTCTGATACCACTGAAATAGCGGTTCAGTATCAATACTTCACTTCTGGACAACTTTTTGTTCAAATAACTTATATATAGAGAGATAGAGATAGGACAAATGTTGGCATCTGCCCTAGCGTCGATGTGAGCCTTACATAGACAGCCTTCTGCAATGTGGGCCAACCCTCCCTTACTCGCAACCTATGTGGGCCCAACGTTGTGTGCTGCCTGGGTTGCTGAAGGACCGGACAATCTGGTCAGGTGCTTGCGGAAACAGGTTTGTCTTAGATTATTACAACAAGGCGAGCAAAAAAATCAAATTACCCAGTTATTGCAAATTTATGTCCTATGAGGTCATAACTTTTGTGATAGCTCTCAAAGAATGGATTTCCTGCAAAACAAGGGTGAAAGGACAGCAATGCACACCCAATCAATCATTGAAAAATATATAAGCAACACCAAACGAGCATTATTTTCAAACACTGATGAAATATCAGCTTACTCAGGAGGCATTACTCATATTGTTCAGTGGAATAGAATTGCTGACTCTGAGGTTGAATATACGGGTATTTTCATGAAGTTGTCGCCATCACATAATACAAAACTTACAAGTTTACAAGCTCAAAAACATACCATTTCTTTGATGTTATGTTTTAGGAGAGTGGTGACTGGACTTTCACTAAATGTATCCTGATGCACTGGAGGTGAGCATAAAGGACTCGATGGATCAACACTTGCAGAATGGCTGAATGAGACATGATGATCTGAGAGTGAGTCTTCTTGAGTTGCATCCATGAAATCGGGTCCAGTTGATTGGCCATTGAGAGCACTCGCCATCGCCAGGACTGGGTCTGATGAGGCTATGAAAAGAAACTAGGATGAAGTGCAGGTATCACCTATCTTTGTCCATACATGAATGTACTAGTATTAGCACACACTTTCTCCCTTCTCATCAGAGATCCTTCCTTGTGGATTGGACTCAACGGCCTTTTCATGCTGGAGGAAGTCATGATGATGAGTTCCACTGCTTGAATTCTGAGTTGTCTCCTTTTTTACATGCTTGACTGGTGAGCAGGAGCAGTAGTGGCATTCAATTTTGCGTTCATCAGGAGGCAACTCGTACTCTGCACATTCTGATTCTCCACATTCCTTGCAGAACCCTCTATCCACACCACGTCTATCCTTCATCCTTAGGGACGCATGTTGCATTCATTGGTACGTCATAGGTCATTATATGCTGAAACACCACTGTTATGAAATCTATCATGACACAAATGAGACAAGGATATTACTGCCTGAGGCATGGAAAGCGTTGCGAGTCAAAAAGGGTTGTGAGTCAGTGCATGGATGGGAGGCAGACGTAATAGTCATTTGAGGATGTAATGCTAAATCCATGAGTAATAAAACCCTCTATCTTGCCTCCTAATTGGGAGTGGTGAAGAACTATAATAATTGTATATTATGCAAAACAACTGTTAGTATGGAAGTGGACTATTTAGTGAATTCGAGGGAATAAGTGTTTTTAAAAACTGACCACAGTTCCAATGGGGATATGTTGAGAGTTGCAATGAGAAATAGCAGCTGAGCAACTGTTTCAACAGTAGGATAGATGATGTTGCACTGAAATGTGATGGCAAGTATTCTCAAAATTCAATCACTTCTGGTGCATGTGAGGAAGATGAGGTCCAATTATGAAAGGCAGTACACCAACCAAGGTCATCGTTGATGAGGCTGAAAATCGCAACACCCCACTATCACGAAGTCTATTGTACATCTAATAAGCCAGGCTTCATTTTCCGCTTGGGTGTATAGGAATTCACTCTAGCTTTCTTTCCAAACTTTCAATTAGATAATCTACCATTGGGATACTTCTTGTTGAGAAAGGGGATGAGACGCTTCTTAATACATTCCTTGAGGTAAGTTACCTGAAGGAATATATTGAGAAGCGTATCCCAATGGGGATGCCATCTTCTGGCCGGACAAGCAAAGCGCCCACTATGCCAACACTGTTACACAGCATCTTCAATCCGTTTGAATAAAGATTGTGGAAAAAGAAGACATTCCCACTAACCTCCCGCAGGCAATACCAGTTGAGCGCCACTGGGCAGATATCGACTAACGGCTAGGCCTCTTCAAAACCCCTGCTGAAAATTTGAAAAGAATTATCTCGCCGAGAAAAGAAAGTGGTCAAGGACATTCCTGAAAGCTACGTCCAAGAGCTTATGAGTGCTGCGCGGACTAAACTGCGCCGCATCAGTGACTCTGGTGTATATTCAGTTGAATGAAGTGGGTGTTCTATTGAGCAATGTTTGTATTCTTAAAATATCATACTCATCTTTATTCTTCTTCCATGTATAGAAAATTGAAGTTGGTTATATATATTGGTGCGGAAACATGATGGCAGTTCCCTAGTTTCGATAGCTATCTGACAAATTTCCAAGGCTAAGTAGCATTTCCATAGTATTTCAGTCCAGTGGCAAGTACTCTCTTGATAACTTTCCCTCTCAACGGGTTTCTGCCTTGTATGTTCGAAGTGCTAGAGAAGTTTCACTTCTGAAATACGAGAATTTCATAAATAGCTGGGTCAGACCAAGCATTAAGTACTAGACTAGGATCAGCAGGAGCTGAGAGTGAGTTACTGAGCAGAATGCCTAGGATTAAATTATTCATTCCCATACAAAACGGTACTCCCTCGTTCACCTATATTTAAACGCTTTTGCACATAATATTTACCTAGCGGGTCTTCTGATATGTTGAGAGAGGAGAACATGGAGAAAAAGAGGGGAATATCCGACTTTTATCTGAAGCTCAAGGGAAAGAACTCATACGCAAGGAGGTTCTTCAGAAGGGATAAGATTCAAATGTGAAATTCGAGTAAACCCAGGGTGAAAGCTCCCCGTAGCACCTTCGCGATAGTCTTTGTCATCCTTGTGAAACGCATTGGAACTATGATGTTCCCCATATGGGTCGATTACTGTCATGACTGCAAGTCGGTCTCGCCCATTGTCATGGCTCCCGGACAGGTCAAGTGAGGCTCGCAGTGAACTGTTGAGTGGAGATCAATTGCAGCTCATGAGTCATTAACTCGTCACAAAAGCCTGCTGAAATATTGGCTCCATCAATAGATCACAATGAATCCACTCCAAATTAGAGTCAATCAAGAGTCAATTGTATGAGCCCATAAAAAAAATGCTTCCATGAATGACATGAACATTTTCAGCAATTGCGACAATATTGAGGAATGGATTCTTCTTCAAGTCTGGTTAGACCTGTGATGGCAAGATGAGATTGTAAAATCCTATCAAACTTCCAATAGCTTCGGGGAGGACCTGTGTAATTGGTCTCCCCGTGTTTGCGAACATGTATGGAAGTTCAGGAAGGCACTGAATAACAATACCTGCGTTTCTATGTATTAAAGGTAACATGGGTACTAGTAACTTTAAGGTTAAAGGTTCGGAAAAGTGCGCAAGAGTATCTAACCGGCAAACTTGGGCATTGGGCCACTTCAAGAGAACAAGACTCTCTGGTTGTCAAGGCTCTGGATTTGGAATGCACTTGTCCAGTTGAATAGAAGCATGTCATCCAACTGTGAAAGACTTACCATGGATTTATGGGATCTCACTGGGAATGCAAACCCACATCCTGGAGGTCACCATTCCTTTGGAAGCTGGATCTTTTCCAATTGGACAGAAATAAGAGGAAGCCCAAAGCCTGCATCTGCCCTGCAGGACCATCAAATGAGAAATTACTTATTTTCTCTTGGGATATGTAATGTGGCGATAATTTGGTGCATGTTCCATAAAGTTTAATGATCATTTCACGGCGTTTGGTGAAAACACTGAGGGAGAAATTCATGAAGTCCGATGGTGAAATGAAATATTATCTTCATTTAATGAAAATAAGAATTTGGAGGTGTAAAGGAACAGTGTGACCAAATGTAAAATTCTGGTGAAAAATCGCCAGAATGGCGTTCTTCGTGACGGAGTCGGTGTTACTTTGTGATGAATTAAATAATTGCCATTCCAAACTGGGGACCGGAAGCGACTTAAAAGCGTGCATACCCTGTTATATGTGATATGACTGTGGCATAAAAACAAAGGATATCTCTCTCATTTGAATATTTGAGCTTTAACTGCATTCACTCGGAACCAAACTTATTCCGATTCATTGAGCGATCTGTACTCACGCATATCTGTAGATTCAGGAAGTCGGTAAAGGTGATTGGGTTAACATGCAGACGCTTTTGACATTAAAACTTGCTGAACAAGTGTCTAAATTTTACACTGATATCAATATTGCATTGCAAGAATTCACTTATTATTCAAGGAAGGCAAACGAGGTATAAGGATGGAAGCGAGGTCGACCGATAGGCTCTGCCTAAAGGCATGATGAGGATTGGCATGACCACTCAAATTCACCACTCAATTCACACAGAATGCGAATCTTTATGTAAAATTGGAGTGTTGATGTTAGAGAATGCATACTTAAAGTGGTGTCTGGTCTTGTGGCTCTCGGGCAATTGATGATTTTGTTATGCAGCTCGTAAGGTCAAGAAGTTTGGCCACCCCTGTAATATAGCATAGGAATGAATTTTGCTAAGAATTTCACGATATGATTATCTTGTGGAAGTCATGTTTTATTTTCAGTCACAACACCCAAATTTTGTGATTCGAAAAAAATTCTGAAGTAAGAGCTACCATATAGGAAACAAAAGGTAAAGTATAGGCGAAAAGTAAATGTAACATGCTGGTTAGACAGGTATAAAAGAGAAACTGTAAAACTGAGGTAAAATGAGCGGTAAATTCGGGGTGAGCCGTACAATTTTGGGGTCAGACTAAGATAGAAAATCGGTAAATGACTGGTCAAGCAGTAAAATTGGGAGGGCGAAATTAAAGCAAAGATTATTCCGCCCTTTAAATTAAGTTTCACATTACCTATTTTTCCTCAGGTTAAACGTTTTTGTAAAGGTTTGATGCTGGGATTGGGTAGGCGGGGCAAATGAAAGAATATCCGCCGCTTTTGTGAGTAAGACGTTCAGCTGGGGGAGCTAACAAGGAGACTCATCAGACTTCTCAAAGATTCACCTCACTCCTAAGGATGAGGCCTGGCTATCGGGTCCACGATCGCATAGGTGTCCGATTCGAAACGGCCTACTCACGCATACTACCTGTTGCGACTGGTACTGGTTGTCCATCCTATCTGTCTCCATCTACTAATTAAACATAGTGAACGGGCCTGAATATGCATAGGATGTTACATCAGGATAATCAGATATATTTAAAAACGCAACGCCTCATCTTCATGTCGAACTCCATCAGAGGAGCCCATCGCTAAATATGTTCACACCCTACAGATTTCAGCATTTCCATCTCATCTTCCATTCATTCGTGAAATAACTACTTTGTACCAAGATCGACAATTAATATACGTAATACGGTTGCCACTTACTCTGCGTAGGGCAGTAACAGTACACAAGTCAAAAGAGTTAACTCCGAGAAGGGAGAAGTTCATATTGACGTTAGATAGCATGATAGTCGTTAGTTGCCCTCTGGAGATTAAGGACTCTGCAACCATTTATCATGCCACCAATCACATATGAGCGACTAATCTCTACCAGAATTCGAATGATTCAGAGAAACACTAAAGATGTCGGGATCGACAGGGTGTTGATAACCTACAGTAGACAGTTTAATTTAGTAATTTCGTTTCCCGGCGATGTCGCTGTCCTTCAGAATAAATAAAACGCTGGAAAAAGGTTCAAATAAAAGTTTAAATAGGTTTTTCCAGAAACATTTTTGACAACGCATCAAATTGATGCATGATAAGCATCCCGGTCTTTCCCATGCAACAATTCTGTGGTGAAGTGGCTTAAGAGAAAGAGAAAAAAGATGGCGCCATCAATAACGCCATGCTCTTCCCCAATTCCTGCAGCATTTAGCAAATTTCCTCTGCATTCTTTCACGATCTCGAAACTTTAATAAATTACTTTGCACATATTTAGGAGCTTTCTTTCTACGTACTATCAGCAAAAACCTCCAAGTGCGGTCAGGCAATTATTACCACCCCATCGCTTCAAATTAAATTAGGTTATTTGACAAGTTTCCTTCAATCTCACGACTTGAATCTAATAGATTTTTCTGGGGAATCCAAGGAGTGCAGAATATTTTTTACATCGCCATAATGGAAGT